TTCGTTTTCGAGACATGTCAGTATCGAATTGGTACTACGTGGGGAAATATTCCGGAAAGCCTTGTGTCTTTAAAAGAGATTCTATGTTTAAAGGTATGTCTTTTATTGTCAATTTGCTGGCGAATTTCTTTCTTACAAATTTCATTTTCTGATTATTGCAGAGTGATATACTCAATGTTCTTGACGCTGTTAATAAAATAAAAAGAATCGCCTTAAACACAAGTTCAGAGGATTTGTTTACAATTAATAATCTTCCAGAGACAACACCATCCCCGAATAAAATTCAGAAAAAATCAATATAATTTGATGTAATATTTTATGTGATAGTCGACTGACTGGATCATCGGCTAAGTTGTCAACTTAATCGGCTAAGCCATTTAGGGGTTAATACAGGGGTATCTAATATCATTCAATTTTTTTTAAACTTTAAATAAAAATAATTAATAATTCCTAATGCTTATCTAAAGAGACCAAATTTTATTACATATTATTTTGATTTGTAAACTTATAATTTTATGAATCATATTTTTAAGAAAATCTCTTAACAGGTTAAATACTATAGTGAAAGTGTTAAATATGTGCTACTTGATATAAGATTAGTTGCATTAACAAATAATTAAAACAATAAATTAATTCTTTTAAAACTGTTCAATTTTTTAAATTATTACCATCAATATAAATAAATCTATCAGAACTTAAAATAAGCCTATTAGCTAATACAGCTAGTGTATTATAAAAATAAATAAGCTGCTCTAATAAAAAAATGTACTATTTTAATTTTTATCTGTATCAGATGAAATGGAATCTAGAATTCTAATTTCATAAATACTTTCTAATATTAAAAAAATTAAAATAATTATTACTAATATAATAAATTAAACAAATAATTAATAAAATAAATTATCTTATTATTTGAATTATTTATTTCATAAAATATTGCTTTTAAAAGTTGTGATATTTATCATGATTTTATATAAAACAGTTTAATTTTTTCGCTATATCAATTAAATTTTTAATCTATCTTTAATTGCAAGTTACATAGTATAAGTTACACAACAAATATAATTTGTTTCTAATTAAGGCTATACCATTAATAATTATATTTTTTCCATAAATTATGATTTTATATAGATATCAAAAAAGCAAAATTTATGAGATTATATATATCTCCTTATAAAAATATAATTTCTAGAATAAATTACATATAATATAATTTTAAATATATACAATGATTTATAAATATTTATGCTATCATAAGATTTGATAACAAAATGCTTATTTAACTATCTAATTGTTAAATTTATATCTAAAATAATTGTCTTATTAATGTATTCTCTTAAAAATTCTTTAATATATAAGGTTTAGTTTTTGAAGAAGTAACTTAAGAAAGTTTTTTTTAAGTTATACTATTAAGCTAAATAAATAATACTTAAATCACCTTCACTGATTTACTAATATTATTAAGATAGTTATATAGGATTTATTCTAAATATAGATCTATTCAGCTTTTAGTTTTAAGTTATGTTTTTTTAACAAATTAGTCAATTTCTTATTACTACTGCTCTAATTATTGATTATTATATTGATATTATACTTTATTATCATATAAGCATTTTTAATGTAGGTAAGAATATTTGTATTTTTTTCCTTTCAGTAATAAAAGATGATTATCTTTATGAATTTAAATTACTCATATTTATATTCAAAATAAATTTATAATATTTCTTTTTAATTGTAATCAAAACTTTAATAATAAATAAAATATATATATTAGTTATAAAAATGTGAGAAAGATTTTTATTTTTTATTTTTTTTATTTTGTTTAAAAAAAAATAGATAAATAAATCATAAAATTAAATTTACCTGAATAAATTTTAGAAAAAAAAGAAAGATAAAGGAATTTAAAAATTTTTTTTTAATTTTGTAAAAAAAAATAAAATTGTTTTTTAATGATAAATATTTATAAGTAAAATTTTAATCATATAAGATTTTTAATAAATTCAAATAACTTTTAAGCAGTATTTTTAAGAAATTTTTTTAATTTTACTTAAATAGTAATAATATTTACATACAAAACGTTATAGAAAATGATAAAAATAAAACTTTAAGAGAAACTTTTACCTATCTTGAATAAATTTGACTGTTTTATTTTAATAAAAATTTTCTTAATATAGGAAAGGATTAAAAACGAAAAAAAGAATAAAATAAATTTAATTTTTTTTTATAAATCAAATTTCTTTTATATTTATGTTTAATAAAAAAGTATTTGTTGCAAATGATAAGCAATGTTAAATATCATACCATCTTTACTTTATTCAAAAGATTATTAAATAAAAAGAAATCTTTTATGTTCAAAATAAGCTATAATTAGATTATTGAAAGATATCACATTATGCAATGCTTATATTTATAAAGATAAAATTTAATCTAAAGCTTTTATTTATGATGAGAATTTAATTTTTGAGAAATTTAAAAAAAAAGATGAAATCTTTTTACTTTTCAAATAAGTAATTATGATATGTAAAATACTAACTTATTGATAATACATGTAAATAGTAATAATTTTATATGTATTATAATAATTCTATGATCAAATATTTCAAATACTGTATATATAAAAAACACATAATATTTAAATAATCAATAGAATTTGCTAAATATAATTACACTTTATTCATATTAAGTTATTTCTTTTTAAAAGAATTTAAATTTACTAATATGAAGTTGATTATACTGTAATATTTGATGATAAAATTATTGTGTTAAATTTTTTAAAAAAAAAATTCTAATTAAAAATAGGCAGATTAACAATAAAATAGACTTATATTATGTAACTATTAAAAATTATATTACTGTACTTTATAGACTTTTTTTTCATTTATATTCTTGCCTTCTTAATATCTCTTTAAATAAAGAACAAAAAACTAAATAATTATTAATTATAAAATTATATTTATTAGTTACTATATATCAAAAATGAAAAACAAATTATTAAATTT